GATTATTTTGATCCGAACCACGTTAAATCTTGTGTTCTTTCTTTTACGTTTCCGCTAACAGATTGTGTAGGAAAGTTTAATTGCATAAGTTTTAGAATGTCTTCGAGCATGTTTGATTTCCCCGTACAATAGTATTTCGGTAAATGGAATATTGAGTTGTGTTGTTCTGGTCATATCTAGTAGGAGTATTGATTTTCTTTATCTTGCTTTTCACTTAAATATTTTTTTTTTGATGAAGTCTGACTTTCTATTTTGATTGAATCAGCTATTCTTTAGCAGATTGCTTTACTTGTTTTCTGAAGCATTGCCTGATTGTTTCCCTCCCTAGTTGTCATAGAGCAGAGGTCTATTACTATAGGAAACATCATTCATTGTTGAATGGGTGGTCTTGGGCCTCATCCTTGGAACAGACAGATTATATGATGTCAATGTACCAATTAGAAGAGAAGATAGGCAAATACTCTGTTTGCATTTTCTTTTCCTTTCTCCTGCTTTTTGTTTGCTGCTTCTCGCATCTTTCCCTGATATTCAAACGTACCATTGAACGCCTTCTGTTTCTTGATGATTCGAAAAAATGAGAAGCGGCAATTTTTTAGTACTGACAATCGAGTCCTCATTTTTTTAATCGGAATTTCTATTTCTGATTATAGCCCTGCTGCATTGTCTGGGGATATGTGAGAAACTGCAGATACTAAAGCCTGTGCAAAATGCTTTGTCCGGCGTTCTATGATGACTACAATGTTTCAAAACTTATTTACACTCAAATTTCTATGTTCTTCCTCTGTCTTTTTTGGACTGCAGATGTTTCATTTGATGCCAACACAACAAGGGAGTTTCTATGTGATGAATGACATTTTCCGGTTGAACTATGCATGAAGGGTACTGGGTTGAATTGTCCGTTGTTCGTGTTTCCTTGATTGATTTCTTCGGAACTGAACAAGTTTACTGAATATATTCTAAGAGTTTGAAAGACATTGCTTCTGTTGGATATCTCAGCTAGTAAGACTGGTTTACTAGTTGTTTGTTGAGTGAGCAATGGATTAAACTTTATAAACAAAAAACAAATGAGCTCTTCCTTGTTGCGAGATATTATATGCTTTAATAATTGCTGCTTCTAAGTCTCAATTTCTCTCTGTCTCAACTCTCCGATGGATGTTCTTGTCATGTTTTTTTTTGTTTGCATTGCCACGTTTGACAGTTGAACGTGATGACAAGTTTTGTGTATTGAGAGAAAAAGTTTTGGGAGAGGTTGTGTGCCAATTGGGGTAAAGAGTGGAAACGTTATCTTTTCAAAATTGCACTAGTAGAAAGGGTGAAATTGATATGTTTGTTTTGTACAAATTTAAGCACTAGCCATTCGTGTTGCAAAATTTCATCCAGCTCAATTTATACTATTTTTTTTTTCTTTGTAAACCCCTCCCAATTTTGGGAGGATCTATCTATTGTGTTTCCTCTTCAGCGTGACTCAAACCCAGGACCTAACGGTCGTGGGTGGAAGCGCTTTTACCAACTAAGCAAGCCTTTATTTTGTTAAAAGGAGCATAATTGTTGAATTTGCCGACTCAGGCGCAATGCTATGTAGTCCGCAGTTTATGCTGTTAAAAGTGCCAAGTTATCTAGTGTAACTTATTCGTAGTTTTTGTTTTAAGGAAGACGTAACCGGTCGTTTCGTCATCTAAAGAGAAATAAGGTAGGATAACATTGTCTTGAGGAAAATAAATCAAAGAATTTATTTAGAATGTAATTTGTGGGGGTCGGTAGAAGAATCAGAATGTTGATCTCGTAAGCAACCTACTTTGTGTTTCTGAACATCAAAAGCAGCAATCCCACTAATAGACACAAGGTTGTGATATAAGCAAAAGGATAAAGTGTGAATCCGAATACCTTCATTGGGTAACGTTCTGTTTTCCCCTAGCTTACTCCATTCTACTCCGGCTCTCTTCTCTTGTGTAAATTCCATCGTTATAAGGGGAGAACCCTATAGTAATGTAATAGTGTATTTTGACAAGACTTCAAAATCTTTGAGATCATCTAGTCTCTTGGGAATTGAGGGGCCAATAGAATAGCCTAGCTTTTTGATAAGTGGTTGGTTCAGTGTTTACTAGTGGTTGTGGTTAAGAGAATCCAAAAGGGGAGAGGAAATACACCGTTTGGTAGTGAAGAGAGGAAGATGTCCGATTGGGGTCCGGTGTTTGTGGCGGTGGTGCTANTGCTTTTCGTACTGTTAACGCCAGGTTTGCTGATTCAGGTACCAGGTCGCAATCGAGTTGTTGAGTTTAGCAACTTTCAGACTAGTGGAGTGTCCATACTGGTTCACTCAATTGTGTACTTCGCCCTCATTTGCATCTTCTTATTAGCCATTGGGATCCATTTGTACACGGGTTCTTAACTCTTTACTGGAATCCTAGTGATCATGGACGGCCATTTTCCTTTTTTACCTTTTTCATGCATGTTTTTCGCTTTTATTTTTCTCTTTTTTTAGCATTCAAATTTCACTTCAATCTATTATGATTTGATGTGATGTATTATCGGTGGGAAAAGCTCTAGTTATTAATAATAGCTCTTTTTTCTTCTTTTATACTAGTCTGTTATTAATAATGCTAGTAATCTCATAAGTATAAGTCGCAATTACAAGTCGCAACCAAAGAATGCGATTTATAACTCGTCATTCCAGAAATTATTTTGTCTTGCTCTTTGTAAATAACAAGTGGAAGACACCATGTGATCTTGATTGTTGCGTGGGCCCATAGTGGCAATTTTTGCTTGTTGAATTGCATATGCATCTCAAAATCAGAATCATTCACTTTGCAAATTTTGCTGTGTTAAATCAATTATTTGTGGTTGTTTGTTTTTTCACCTAAAATAGAGTGATTGCTAATTTGCAATTTATCAAAGGACTAACTTTGGCATCTATCCCTTTAAAGCGGGAGGATTCTTATTATTAAACTATTGAATTCAATAATGTTAAAGGCACCAATAATTGAGTCAATCCATCCTCTCTTTGGCTGAATTATAGCTGGTTGAGACTTGTGAAAGAAAAATAAAAAGAAACAGAATGGGAACCATTAGATAAACAACATGAGAATTGAATCCAAAGGAAAACGCAGGTAGTAATATGTGACTTTAGTTGTTTGGAACATCAAACAAATTGGCCTTATGAGATTGAAACTAAATCAATCAAAAACCACACTCACAATACAAAAGTAGAATTGTAATTCTTGCGACTCTCTCAACTCTAAATTTCAAATACCATTTTCACATGAAAAAATTTCTCTCATCTACCTCCTTATAATTTAGCATAGGTATATGTTTTCTTGGTAGCTAAGCATAGAGATGTATATTGAGAATAACGAGGAAGAGAATAAGAAACAAACCAAAGAAGACAGTGTGAAGCAACATAGAAACGAAAGTGGTCTTCATATTCATGAAATCAACAGGCCTATTCTTCCCTGGCATTTGAAATATTAGTCCTGGACATAGAAATGCAAATAACGCCGTAGCTATGATCGGAGCTGCCCAATCCTTCATCTTTAGTTTCTTGTTCGTTTCCTGTTTTATGCTTCTCTATGTATTTAACCTTCAACTAAAGAAGAGAAAGAAGAGTAGGAGCTTTGGATACGTTAATAATGGGCGTGGAAGTAGAAAATGATATTAAGAATCCCATAAAGTTGGCGAATATATAAAAATTCCCCCACCACTTTACTGTTTATTCCCATTTCTAATTTCTTATTACTAGTGGTGTGTTAGTTATGGTGGATAAGGGCAATAATGCATCAATTATGTGCTGCTATTTTTGTAGAAATATGGTAATACTAGCTAGCTATATATATATATATATATAGTACTATTATTATTTGACCAAAAAATATAGTACTCTTTGTTAAACTAATTATAAGATAACTAAGGTGAAAGGTGAATCTCATTCAAGCATACTAATTCTTAGATCTAACTAAGAATTTAAGTAATATCGTTTACTTAGTGCTCAGAGTCGTATGTTCAATCATTAAATGCGCACGTTGGAGAATAAATGAAGAATGAATGATGAACAATAAATATGAAATGTGGCAATAAATATAAATAGGAAGAACAATTCATCCAAATATTAAATGACGTGGAAGATTCTTCCTTCTGACAACGAAATGTGGCAGTAAACGAGAATATGAACAATGCTTTCTTGGATCATGTGAGTGAAAGGGAAGAATAATCGATAAAGTCAATCACTATGGAAAGATGATCTTTGTATTTTCTCTCAAGGGTCGACTTCTTACAATAGTTTTTTCAGAATAAATCTCACGTCCCTCTCTTCTCTCTTTCTTTTTCTATTTAAAAGGGATGTTCTCTAAAAACCCTAAAAAAGTACAATATTCCCATTTCTAGTCCCAAGAATACACTAGCTGTTATTCCTACTCCTCACTATTCGACCTCAGCTTCAACGGCTTGCTCAACAATAGCTCGTTGTTGGGTTTCAATCGACCTCGACTTTGCTGCCCAAATCGAAACACCGTCTTCTCACTTAACGACCTTCCCACGCCTGATTTCCTAAGTTCGATTTTGACCCATACAATTATAAACTTCCACGTTTTTCGAGGGGGCTATGACTTAGGTTGCTAATATTGCCACTATAATTAATACACTCTTATCATTTTCTGGCCTTTGTCGACCTTCATAAAAAATCTATGGTCTACTCGCCTCAAATTATTGTCACTCGTTAATAGTATATACTAGTGTTTGATTACATCACAATTCATGTTTTATTTTTAAATCTTTGTACTTTACCCTTCGGCTTTGAACAACAATTTAGATACAAAATGGTATCTGAATTTGGTCTTGATTTAGTCTTTTATTAGTCAACAGTTTAAAGGCATATATACGTCAATAAAAGTAGAGAATGGAGAGGTAAAAGTGAAAAAGGTACACGACGGAAAAAAGGAGGTATACGCATTATCCGACCAACGCATGGGAATTGGATCTTTCCATACGGTATTGTGGCATCATGTCTGTTAATTTTCAAAATAGCTCTTATGCCAAAAGTGTCTGATTTACGGAAAATTTCATTTTCTGTCCCGTACAACTGACACTAGTTATATGAGGTATATTTTTATTTTACAATTTTGTGGATCCAGATTTTTATGGACCCGAAAGTATAAGATTTTGGTCCATAAGTGTACGATTTTGGTCCATATATGAAACAAAAAGAAGTCTCACGCAACTTCTCCTGATTTACAATCAGGACATCGTTGAAAATGAAAGCAATTAAAGAGGAAAAAGGAGATTAAATAGATACAAGACAAGTTTGATAAAGTACTAAGCCTTGGTGTCTAGGAATAAAAATAGGTAGAATAAGTTTTATTCAAAACTAGGAGAACCTAAAAAATTATTTAAATCAGTTTGGTGGAAGTTGTTTCCTGTTCTAAAATATTCTGTCATCCAATCCTCTCCTCTTAATTCTTTATCTGTTAATAACTTCTATTTAAAACTTTATCTCCCACTTTTAAAGAATTTTTTGGTCCTCTAATTTAATTTTGGGAAAATGATATTGTATAGCCACTTTTAAAATAATAGTCAATATATATATATATAGTTTCTGGCACGGACCTTTAATTTGCAGCGGAATATATTCTCTCTTCTGCACAATTTGCTTGACCAAAAGTTCTTTTTTCTACATAAAGTTCAAGGGGTATGTTATTCATCAGCAACTTATGATATCATGGGGGTAAAAACTGAATTCGGCCCGGAGGGAATAGAACTATAGAAAGATAGAAAGTGAAAAGAAGTTAGGTCTTCCCTTCTTCGCACAAATGGAGATAGAAAAATATTCTCTTGGGCTTCATGAGTAGAGAATAATTTACCTAAATGTTTATATTAAATCATATTGATTAATTATTTAAAAAATAAAAATATATATTAACGAGAGGCTAGAGGTTTGGAGACAGACTCTTGAGTCTAGGGGTTTCAAGCTGAGTAGGACGAAGACGGAATACTCGGAGTGTAAGTTCAGCGCTGAGCTGGGGGAAGTAAGCGTGGATGTGAGGCTTGAATCACAGGTCATCCCAAGTAGAGACAACTTCAAGTACCTTAGGTCGGTTATCTAGGGGGGATGGGAGATCGACGAGGATGTCACATACCGTATTGAGGTAGGATGGATGAAGTGGAGGTTAGCATCTGGAGTCCTGTGTGACAAGAGAGTGCCACTGATACTCAAAGGTAAGTTCTGTAAAGCAGTAGTTAGACCAGCCATGATATATGGGGCTGAGTGTTAGCATGTTAAGAACTCATATATCCAGAAGATGAAAGTAGTATAAATGAGGATGTTGAGGTAGATGTGCGGGTACACTAGGATGGATAAGATTAGGAATGATGATATTCGGGAGAAGGTGCACGTGGCTCCAATTGATGACAAGATGCGGGAAGCGAGACTCAAATGGTTCGGGCATGTTCAGAGGATAAGTCCAGATATTCCGATAAGGAGGTGTGAACGGCTGGTTGTGGAGGGTAGGAAAAAAGGTAGATAACGACCTAAGAAGTATTGGGGAGAGGTGATCAGACAGGATATGGCGAGGCTTTAGATTTCCAAGGACATGACACTTGATAGGAAGATGTGGAGGTCGAGTATTAGGGTTGTAGGTTAGGAAGTAGTTGAGTCTTGCCTTACTTTGTACCTTTTGTGAGACTAGTCTAATAGAGTTTTTGTCTAAAATAGCTAGTGGCAATGTTGTGTCTTACTATTTCGCTTTTCAGTGCATGACCTATTTACTAGCTATCGCTTTTGCTTTGCATCTTTCTTCTGGATTTCATGGTGTTCCTATTTTTCCTATGATTTCTGTGGCGATACTAGTGATGGCAAAATGGTTAAAAGAAAATAGTTAACCTCACTAAAAAATGGGTTGGATAATGACGTTTTTAAAAACGGGTCAAATATGGATAAAAATCATATTATCCATTTAGAAAATGGATAACCAATGAGTCTAACTTTTACATATGTAAAGCCTTATTGGGTATTCCTCAATTTAGAGAGACTAAGAATTCTCCCAAAAGTGATCATATGCAAGAAGTCATGGATAATATGGTTACCCATATTATCCGTCGGTTAATCCGTTTTTTTATCCGTATTAAATATGGGTCGGGTCGGATAATTGATCAGTTTTTTCATTACCTGTTTTCGATCCGAACCATATCCGACCCGGCCACCCATTTGCCACTCCTAGGTGATACTAATATTGTCTTCTTTTGTCTTTTTGTTTTCTTGAGCCGAAGACCTTTCGGAAATAATATCTCTACTTCTTCGGATAGGAGTAGGGTCTGCGTACACACTACTCTCCCAAGACCCCACTAGTGAGATTTTATTGGCTTCTTGTTGTTGTATGTAAATATTTTGTGCGAATAAATGTTTTTCAATTGAATATCAACTCACTAAAAAAATGTTCCCTTTTCCCTCTCTTCCTTTGTGTTCTCTCAAAGCATAATTAAGATCAAGAAATTGCCGAAAGTAAAATTGGTGTTTAGCATTTCTAAGCTATTAATAAATGCTTTTTATGTCTTGTGCTCACAAATGGATCCAAAAATTCTAGTGATTAGTGTCCTTGTCACAATATATTACCCCAATAAACTAGAAATTTCCTATCTATACTTTCTTGGCCGCTTTCCCCATAAGCTACAGCTACTCTACTCTTTTGCTTCTATTCCCCCCTTTTTTTTTCTCTTGGCTAGGTTTTTCAATTTCCACCTGCACCAGAAATAGCTCTCTAATTAATTCCTATTGCTGTTAATGGCGGACTGGGGACCAGTGCTGATAGGAGTTGTACTCTTCATATTGCTACAACCTGGGCTTCTGTTTCAGATACCTGGTAATAATCGTACTCTGGAATTTGGGAGCATGAAGACTAATGGAAAAGCTATTGCTGTTCATACTCTTATTTTCTTTACGCTTTATGCTATTCTCATTCTGGCTGTTCATGTTCACATCTATACTGGTTGATCCTATATATATACTCCAGATCTTCTCCAAATCTCCCTCTAATGCTAGTACCATTTTCTTGCTGAAGTTAAGATCTGTTTGTTTGTACTTTGGTTTTCAAGAGGAAATATGAAAAAAAAGATTTTAGTCTTTGAAATTAAGTGTATTAATTTATATATGCCCTATTTATTTGCGTACTGTTTCTCTTGGTTGCTCAAATGCTTATTGAACTGCATCTTTTTTTGTTTGTTTTTTAACTCTTCCTTCCTCTCAAAATCTATAGAAAACTAATTAAGGTGGTGTGATTGTGACAGTAAGCTGCAATAGAGCTGGCATATAGTCGATTCTAGAATTAATAATTGATATATTTGATGAGTAGTTTTTTTATTTAGAAATGGAAAGCGACTAGTCTTGTTTCTGGGTTAAAAAAGGAGATATTGAATTCAATTTGGTATAGACCCCTTCAGTGTAAGATTATCAGCTTCTACAATATCATGTTTGAAACACACACACACACACACTCTTCTAATTGCAGGATTCACTTTTCGTGCAATGTTTCTTGGACCAAAGATGATGGTGCCGTATGATTTGATAGGCTAGGGAGTGTTTCCTAGGATTATTTGTTCAAGCGACAATTTTTTCCTAATTATAGTTTTTAATCTCCAAGCTCTCAGTTTGGTGCTTAATTTTAATGTTTGAGATCTGAAAGGTCCAAGCCCTCGCTTGCGCCTTGAGAAAGGATTGATTCTGTCTTTTCTTCGGTTTACCACAATGTAATAAGTAAAGCAGATATGCGGTATGTTGCGTTTGTCTAACATATATATATGCCATGTTCCGAGGGAGCCTTGGTGTAACTGGTAAAGTTGCTGCCAATGTGCCCAAGAGGCCACGGGTTCGAGTTGTGGAAACAGCCTCATGCAAGAATGCAGGGTAAGGCTGCGTATCGGGTATAACCAATAGCCCGAACCGGAAAAAGCTTATTGAGGTATCGATATCGGGTTATTGGGTTAACGGTTTGGTAACAATTTAATATTTTTTCACTATTGGGTTATCGGTTCGGGTCTCGGTTTGCCCAATTTCTTAACGGGTAAACCGATAACCCAATAAGAATTAGTACTATTTCAGTTGTGTTTGTCCAACTGTGTTTGGACAACTGTTGAATTACTAGTACTCTTGTTGCTATCTCTTGATTATGGTTTGGCAAGAAACCAAAAAATTATTATTTATGTTCTTGTTAACTTCTATTTCTAGCTAATTGGAGATGAAATGCTTGTGGAGTTGTAATATCAATTTTTGAGATTGCACAGGTTTTGAATTTGTCAAAATGAAGCATGCTTCAAATATTAGTTGTGGCTAGAATGCAGAAATGGGTAGTATACTATATGGGAATTCTTCTCTTTTTTACTTAATTCTAGTGAATTGTTTTTTTTTTGTTTAACTCTAGATTGAGTTATCTTATCGGGTAAACCGATAACCGAACCGATAATAGTCAATAATCGGTTAACCGATAACCGATATCTTATCGGTTCGATTATCGGTTAATCATATTTGTAAACCGATGACCGATATGCAAAACCGATAATATTCACAACCAAACCGAACCGACCAATGCCCACCACTACTGCGTACGATAGGCCCTTGTGGTCCGGCCCTACCCTGGACCCCGCGCATAGCGGGAGTTTAGTGCACCGGGCTGCCTTTATATATACCTTGTTCCCTGTACACCCTTACCCCTCAACCCTCCCCCCAAAAAGAAAAGAAAAAAGAGAAGAGTTTATATTAAGAACCGTCATGTACAGAGAATATGATAAAAGTGGTTCAAAAACTTGTTCCTTTCATATGCATGAATTTGATAAACATTGATGTCACAACACTTAGTGAGTGTATCTCAGAAAATGAAACTAGTTCAAAAGAAAAATAACACAGAAAAAGGTTTGATAAAAACAAGAATCCCCCTTCACCAAAGCCTTAGGAAGAAGAGTTGAGAATTTGGCTGGAGCAGCAGCAGGGTCGAAGAAAACTTAAATTTTGCCTTGTTGCCAGTATCAGCCAGATCGTATATGAACACCAATGGCAACTATCAAGATTGTATATATACAGAAGAATAAGATGGCATGAACTAGGATAGAAATCCCACTGGTATACATGTTCCCGAACTCAATCACCCGAGTCCTCGCCGGTAACTGGAATAGCAATCCTGGTGAAAGTAGGATGAACATCGCCACAGCAACCACCACTGGTCCCCAATCAGCTACCATCTTTATTTCACTATCCTGTCTTTCTTTATCTAAAGGAAAAATTACTAGGTACTCGAAAATCTGAGCTTTAAGCGATCTCTCTGTTTCTTGCTGTTGTATATAGTTGTGGTGTTTGCAAATTTGTAGCAGCTAATATATGGCAAATGTAGTGTTTTGCTTAGTGAAGAAGGAGAAGGGGATATACTAAACTTGAGGGTGAAAAGCAGGCAGTGTGTTTTAAAGGGGAAGAAAGGTATGATTTGTGGTAGTGGGGGGATTTTTGCTTTATGGAAGTCGACAGAAAATACCAACTTTATGTTTAAGTTTCCGATTATTGAAGAACGCGCAAGCCTTTCTTTTGCATTTTGCTTTACACATTTTATTACACAAAAGAAATTCATCAAGGTGGTGTCTTTATAAAAGATTTGGAAAAAGAAGGTGGTGGACGTGGAAAGTAGAGAAAGCCAAAGTTTTGTTGCGTTTACAATGCACAATTCTTTGGCTGATTTCTTCGATAACAGCTAGTAATGCTACCTTGGGAAATGATTTGTTGGCATTGTTTAAGTACCTATTTTGCACTTAAAACAATAGCTCAAGATTTTGATGCATGCCATCGTTGGATTTTTATGCTTATCAGTTGGTTTGTTTGTTCGAGCTTTTTACCTCAACTGGAAGTAATCTTATGCAAAACGACTTTTACAATGAGATTTAAAGTACACTGTAAATAATGTTACACTATTAATGTATCTTAATAGGTTGTAACAAGTAATTTATCTTAAGTTTTAGGTATTCATTATTTACTTTTTCCAGCCATACACATAGTCTATACATTAGTTACACATATAATATATAAATTATGTATATATTATACCTCCACCGGCTATTTTTAGTTTAAGCGATTGGGTAGGTGGCTATTTGGGTTAATTCTTCACATTATTTTGGGGTAAGTACACAGATAATCATTTTCAGGGATACTATTTAGAGATTTGTCATTATTTATTTTGTCCTGAAATTTTAAACTAAAAATTTTAATTTCAGGACAACTCAGAACATTTTTGACCTGTAAAATTAAACTGAAATTTAGGATACACGGGCTAATTCCTAAATAATGGCCCTTTAAAGTGGCTACATGGTGTCATTTCTACCATTATTTTGACATATTGGATTGACGAAATGGGTTTTCATCCTGAATGGGCTTTTATATTTTCTAATTTTCCACCTGCAGGTAGGGCCATCAATGTTGGGTTGGACTGCTGTCTTGCTATAAAGAACATCTAAATTGGAGAAATTCAAAAATAGCCAGATTTACAAGTGGTCATTCAAAAATAGTCACAGTTTCAAAAATAATCGAAATTTAGTCACTTTTTATGTAGAGATAAATCTGAAAGAATACACTGTTCAAGATCCGAAAAATACTCCAGCATAATATACTGGAGTTTAGCATAATATGCTGGAAGTTCATATACAGGTGCAACGATCTCCAGTATATTTTGCTGGACCGGTCCCTGTTGCAGTAAAATAATGGCTATTTTTTAATGACTTTACAAATGCTGACTATTTTTGAATAATCAATCCAAAAACTGGCTAGCCCGTGCTATTTTTACCATCTAAACGAGTAATTTATGCACATGTTTTCAATGGCTCAAGCCCACAAAAGAGAGTGCCGTCCAGGAGAAGAAATGAGAAGATTCTCAACTGTTACATGGTCGGCAAATGATAATCATGTTAATTGCTATTCGCTATCAACTGATAATACGTGTCATTAAACAAACGCTGTATTTGTCTCACAATGCGGTAATTTCTGTGTTGGCAGAGTATGCATTGTCTTGTTTCACTTGTCCTTAATTTGCTGAAAAAGAAATTAAGCAGGCTCTACTTATCTCAAAAATAATAAAGGTGGAAATTCCATGTCTATAATTCTGGTTAATTTCCTCTTCCCAAATTCTCTAAAGATCATTGGTCTTCTCCCTTTTTCATTTCCTTTTCACTTCTACATACATCACTTATATCAGACTAACAGAGATGGCTGATTGGGGACCAGTGGTAATAGCAGTGGTGCTGTTTGTTCTGTTGAGCCCTGGGCTTTTGTTCCAACTACCAGGAAACAGCAGGGCGGTAGAGTTTGCCAATTTTCAGACAAGTGGACTCTCCATTTTCATACATACTCTTCTCTTCTTTGGCTTCATTACTATCTTCCTTATTGCCATCGGTGTCCACATTTACACCGGCTAGAAACATCCTCAAATGCCAATTACTTTATCTTATTTTGCTTATTATAAGTTCTTTAAAGCTACAGTATGTGTATTCATTTCGTATGGGTCAAGGTGTATTTTGATACTCATGAATACTATGATAGTTAATTTGTGTTGAATTTTGGATGCTTATTAAATAGTACATACATTCATATCTTAAATTGTTTGACTACTTTTACTGTGACATGCTCGTTGAAGGTATTAGCAATATCAATATGAAGACCAATGACAATTTTTGATAGCGAATCCCATATCAGGATAGATTCATCTAAAAAGTACAACACTAAAAGTAAATGTGATATGTCTAAAGTACTTAATGCCAAATAGGTCTAAAGTACAACCAATGGTTTCATGCAGTTAAGGCTAATAAGTCTGAAGTGTAAAATTAAACTTCAGATACACTTAAGCCCAAAAGGTCTTAAGTGCAACAAACATTTCCCTACACGTAAGGCCAATAAGTCTGAAGTGAAAAATTGCACTTCAGATGCACTTAAGGCAAATAAGTCTGAAATATAACCAATAATTTCATGCACTTAACGTCTATAAGTTTGAAGTGGAAAATTGCACTTCAGATGCACTTAAAGCCAAAAGGTCTGTCCTACACTTAAGACCAATAAGTATGAAGTGAAAAATTGCACTTTAGATGCACATAAGGCCAATAGGTCTGAAGTACAAATTGCCCAGAAATAGAAATTTGTTTTTCGAATTTTAACAATTCAATATACGATTTAATACCTAAATCTACTCTAAATGAGCTCAAATTTGAAACATAACATCCAAATATCATCAAGAATAAACCTCAATTATCAATTTGTCAAAACAACAATAAATCTAACGAACCCATTTTACAATTAAGAAAAAGAGAGGAAGAACCCTAAATAATAGTAAAAAAATAAAGCAGCACAACAGATCATCATTGTAAAATCTTATAAACTACCTTAAAATATATTCACACAAACAATATATTAAATCATTGTCACTATTAGGAGAGGATGAGGAGGAGGAGGAGGAGGAGGAAGAGAAGAAGAAGAAGAAGAAGAAGAAGAAGAAGAAGAAGGAGAAGGAGGAGAAGAAGAAGAAGAAGAGAGGAGGAGAAAAGGGACTGCATTTGTTTAATTAAAAAGTGAGTACAAGTAAAAAAAAATTAAAAAGTGGGTATAGGTTAAATGGGTCCGGCCAAATAGGATGTCAGTGCAATTTTTTCTTTTTTATTTATAAAAGCTTAGACCAAATCATGGTCCAGAAGACTTAAGAATTATTAAAGCCAAAAAAATAAATGTGCGAAGTCATGATACATGCATCACATTAATTACCCAGTACATAAACTGATTAATACCACATATTTGGAATTAAAAAAATTAGATTATTTATCCAACATGCATAACTAATAAATGGGGTTTATATTTGCAATTCAGTTGTTTACACTCAAATATAATATTGCTGCTAATTAATACAGAACAAAAAGTGGAAAACTACTTAAAAAAGTCGTTGTTATGGGATGACTACAAGAGTACACATTTACATACTTTTGCCATTTGGCCAACTTTTGCAATTTGCTTCTAATTACTTAAACATACTGAAATTAAGGCTCTAATTTGGATTAAAGTGAGAAAACCACACCAAGAAAACACTATTGCCTTCTTAGTGCCTATTTTTAGCCAGAGGAAACAAACAAGTGGATGCTCATGAATTATTAGGAAACTGTTGATGCCTTTGTTAGAGGTATAGAATAACAACAACAACGACCCAGTATAATCTCACAAGTGGGGTCTGGGGAGGGTAATATGTATGCAGACCTTATCCCTACCCTGAAGGGTAGAGAGGCTGTTTCCAGGAGACCCTCGGCTCAAAAAAAGCAACAAGAGACGATATATTAGTACCATAAAAATGCATAATAAAATAACAGTTTTATAAGAGATATGAAATACAGAATACGAAATACGAAATAGATGGCTGGTATAGTAAAAACGTTAGAGGTATAGAATATTTGTTGGATATCTAGTGGATTGAGAATGCAACAAAAAAATTATCCACTTACTGCATGACTAATATGGCTATGTATATTGAAGGCCGAAATATTAGTGGAAAAAATGACNATATATATATATATATATATTTTGTATGTTATATATAAAAATTATACAAATTTTATACACTTTTTTGGCTACCAGAAATAAATAGTGCTAAAAGTGATAATACCCAAAATTATGTCAGTTTCCCAGTCATTGTCACCAGATAATTGGATGAGTAAGATGAAGATTATTCCTACATTCGGTTTCTTGAACGCAACGTATTTTTCTTGATCGAAAGAGACAGCTAGAGAGAGGTTCTTTTTGAATCTTCATTAATCCAGTAGTAATTAATTAATAACGAAATAAAAGAGGAGATGTAGGAAATATAACTACCTACAGATACCTTGTAATTTTTTTTTTTTTACCATAAACTCTAGTGAATTAAAGTGTGGATTTCTTACAGCACAGTGGAGAATATATACACCTAGATAACATGACGAGCAAATAACAAAAATAGGTTCTTTAATAGAGAGTAGAAACAAATTAATTAATCACTAGTTTTGTTACCAATATATTCAAATTAAACTTTGTCCAAGTATCATAGTAATTCGTTATAAGGATACAAAAGAGGCATTTTCTATAATACTTTAAGAAAAATTGAGTGACAAAAATTATTTAGCGAATTCCTGTGGTATAATTTTAACTGTCTTTTTTGTTTATAAATAAATAATTTTAATGACTTTGATGAAATAAAATAAAAGCTGAGTGACGATTCATAAAATTACCAACCCCAAATGCAAAATGATCAAGTACTACTCCACGAAGAGGATGCAATATTAATTTATTCTTATTGCATGAAAATTAACTGTCTGCCTCACATACTTCCTGTTATGAAGTTTAAATTAGTACTTAAAAAACTAGCAACAAAATCAAGTGACATTAATGCTAACGATTAATTGACACCTTGCCTGCTTGCAAATGCTTAAGATTATTAATTATAATCAGTAATTAAGGTTGAACTAAGATGCAAAATTTAGTGAGATTGCAGAGACGACAGGTTCCTTTCTG